CTTTTGACTTGGAGTAGAAAAATAAAAATTGCTTCAAGAGTTTTCCCACCTTATAAACCTGATCAAGGAGGTGAAAGACTTATATGCTGAGAACTATAAAACATTAATAAATGAAACTGAAGCTGATTCAAAGAAATGGAAAGATATGTGCTCGCTTCGGCAGCACATATACTAAAATTGGAATGATACAGAAATGGAAAGATGACCCATGCTCTTGGATTAGAAAAATTAATATGGTTAAAATGGCAATACTACTCAAAGCAATCTACAGATTTAATGTAATCCCTATCAAATTACCCATGACATTTTTCACAGAACTAAAACAAATAATCCTAAAATCCATATGGAACCATAAAAGACCCAGAATTGCCAAAGCAATCCTGAAGAAAAAGAACAAAGCAGGAGGCATAACCCTCCCAGACTTCAGACAATGCTACAAAGCTACAATAATCAAAACAGCATGGTACTGGCACAAAAAGAGACAGATCAATAGAACAGAATAGAGAGCCTAGAAAAAGAAACCCACACACCAACAGTCAATTAATCTTTGACAAAGAAGGCCAGAATATAAAACGGGAAAAAGTCTCTTCAGCAAGTGGTGCTGAGAAAGTTAGACAGTTGCATGTAAATCAGTGAAGTTAGAACACACACTCTCACCATACACAAAAATAAAATCAAAATGGTTTAAAGACTGAAACATAAGACATGACACCATAAAACTAGAAGAGATCATAGGCAAAAAATTCTTTGACATAAATTGTACCAGTGTTTGCTTAGGTCAGTCTCCCAAGGCAATAGAAAAACAAAAATAAACAAATGGGACCTAATCAAACTTACAAGCTTTTGCACAGCAAAGGAAACCATAAACAAAACGAAAAGACAACCTACAGAATGGGAGAAAATATTCGCAAATGATCCGACTGACATGGGCTTAATTTCCAAAATATACAAACAGCTCATACAACTCAACAACAAAAAAAAACAACCCAATCAAAAAATGGGCAGAAGACCTAAATAGACATTTATCCAAAGAAGACATACAGATGGCCAACAGGCACATGAAAAGATGCTCAACATCACTAATTATTAGAGAACTGCAAGTCAATGAGGTACTGCCTCACACCAGTCAGAATGCCCATCATTAAAAAGTCTACAAATAACAAATGCTGGAGAGAGTGTGGAGAAAAGGGAACGCTCCCACACCGTTGGTGGGAATGTAAATTGGTGCAGTGTAGAAAACAGTACGGAGCTTCCTCAGAAAACTAAAAATAGAATTACCATGTGATATAGCAATCCCACTCCTGGGCATATATCCAGATAAAACTATAATTCAAAAAAGATACATGCACCCTTATGTTCACAGCAGCACTATTCACAATAGCCAAGACATGGAAACAACCTAAATGTCCATCAACAGATAAATGGATAAAGATGTGGTACGTATATACAATGGAATACTACTCAGCCAGAAAAAAGAACGAAATAACGCCATTTGCAGCAACATGGATTCAACCAGAGATCATCATACTAAGTGAAGTAAGTCAGAAAAAGAAAGACAAATACCATATGATATCACTTATATGTGGAATCTAAAATATGACACAAATGAACCTATCTATGAAACAGAAACAGAATCACAGACATAGAGAACAGACTGGTGGTTGCCAAGAGGGAGGGAGTTGGGGGAGGGATTGACTGGGAGGTTGGAATTAGCAGATGTAAGCTTTTATATATAGAATGCATAAACAACAAGGTCCTACTATATAGCACAGAGAACTATATTCAATATCCTATGAGACCCAGCAATCCCACTACTGGGCATATACCCAGAAAAAACTATAACTCAAAAAGACATCTGCACTCCAATGTTCATTGCAGCACTATTTACAATAGCCAGGTCATAGAAGCAACCTAAATGCCCATCAACAGATGAATGGATAAAGAAGATGTGGCAGATATATACAATGGAATATTAGCCATAAAAAGGAATGAAATTGGGTCACTTGTAGAGACATGGATGGACCTAGGGACTGTCATACAGAGTGAAGTAAGTCAGAAAGAGAAAAACAAATATCGTATATTAACACATATATGTGGAATCTAGAAAAATGGTACAGATGAACCTGTTTGCAAGGCAGAAATAGAGACACAGAAGTAGAGAACAGACATATGGACACCAAGGGGGGAGAGTGGGGGTGGGATGAATTGGAAGATTGGGATTAACATATATTGACATATATATACTAACTAATATGTATAAAATAGATAACTGATGAGAACCTGCTGTACAGCACAGGGAACTCCACTTTGCTGTACAGCAGAAACTAACACAACATTGTAAAAGAACTATACCCCAATTTTTAAAAAGTCCCATGATAAACCACAATGGAAAAGAATATATTAAAAAATGTATATATATATATATATATATATATATATACACACACACATACACACACACACACACACATATGTACATAACTGAGTCACTTTGCTGTACATCAGTAATTAACACAACATTGTAAGTCAATTATACTTCAATTAAAAAAAAAGTTTTCATTCCTTAATATAAAGAAGAGATGGTGGCAATAAGAGAAATGGACCCCAAAGTGTTCTTCCTAATACCTGGTGTTGTAGGGGAGGAAAATACCCCCCTACCACAAATAGAGAGAAGAGAGATGGTTATTTTTAAGCATACTCCCTGGAGCATTTTAGAAGACTGAAATCACTCAAATATCTGAGTCATCAGCTGTGCTGGATTTCTTGAGTTGTACAATGAGAAACCACCTTTATGCTGATTATCTCACCTCATAAAGAAAGAGTCTGATAATGAATAAGAGGGAAAACATGAATGTGGGTCCATGATTATCACATGAGTTGAAAATACACTGAAAACTGAAGTCATAAATACCTTAAGAGCTTATAGTAATATACATATATATAAAATATATCCAACTTGCAAGCTATTTATCAACTTTTGTCCCCTTTGACTGAAATAAATTCTTCCACTGTGGATAAGCCAGTATGCAAAAGGAGAGAAAAGTTTCATAGATGCTAATAAACATGTCTGGATATTCCACTGTTAGGGATTAATTCCTTTGGCTTAGCCTGGGCCTTGTTTTTAAAGGTGAAGTACTTGGGGAAGGTTAACATGGTAAACCAGGATATCAAGGTTACCATGTTTTAGTGTGATTTAATCTAGTTACAATGTCCCTTCTAACTCAAATTACATAAGGAAAATGAGAGACATGGAGTGCTTGTAGGATGAAAAAACAGGAGAGGGGAGTGATTTTGGAAAGTGTTGCGCTGACAAGATGTACATGCCTGCCTTTGTACACTGAGAACTTGGCACAGGTGGGGAGTGGAACAGGAAGGGAGGGAAACTGGCTGAAGGACACGCGGAGAGCAAGAGGTGGGTCTGCAATGCCCATGAGCACCATACACAAAGCATGAGACTCATCACTTTCTATATTTGGGACACACACAGTAGCAGGGATAGTGTGTCAACCCAGCACTTGTATTCCAAAAGGATTTTTTATTGAATTGGACCTATTTGGGGCTAAAATAACCTTTCCCCATGCTGAAATTATATTCCTAAAACCAAGAGAATAGTATTTGCATCATCAGCCTGGAAAAATTAAAAGGCTTATAATCTCCAGTGCTGGAGAAAGTAGATGGAAATTCATATGCTTCTATGTCTTCTGGGGTAGGAGAACAATTTAACAGTTGTCCAAATTTAAAATGTGCATATACCTCTGATCCAGAAATTTCATTTCCAGAAATCTATCTTGCAGAAATACTAGCACAAATGTATAAGATGTTTTTACAAAGACAGTCAATGTAGCATTAAGTGGAAAACTGGAGACACCTAAAATAAGCTACCAACTTATTTAGGAATAAGTTAAGAATGGTTAAGTCACTCATAGAAGATATGCCATACTATGCCATCCTGGACAATTAAAAGGTGTAAAATATATCTACATATATTGTCTTGTTTAGAAGAGAAGTAAAAGTGGGTGGGTGAAAAAAAATACTGCCAGGTAATAGTTATAGTATGATCAACTGTTTGCATGTAAAGATGGATGAGTGGGTGCAATGAATGGTCGGACAGATGGACAGATGGATGGTGGATGGATGGGCAGATGGACAGGTGTTTGGATGGATGGACAGATGGACAGATACGTGGATAGATGAACAGACGGATGGACAGATGGACAGATAGATGAATGGATGCATAGACAGATGGAGAGATGGATGGGCAGATGGAGAGATGGAAAAGTGGGTGGATGGATGGATGGGCAGGTGTATGATGGATGGGCAGACGGAAGACGGGAGGGAAGGTAGGAGGGAGAGAGGGAGGGAGTAGGAAAAGAGGGGAGGGAAGGAGGGATAATATTGGGGTGGCCAAAAAGTTAGTTTGGCTTTTTGTGGAAGATGTTACAGAACCCGAACGAACTTTTTGGCCAACACAATATGCATGATGGATAGAGACAAGTGTGCATCCAACAGGCTATCATTACTGAGGTTAATGTACTTTCCCCTTTAGACAAATCCTAGGAGTATGTAAACACAACAACTTGAGTTAAAGTCTCCCTCCTGAATCATACAGCCTCCTCCCAACTCTGGACCAGTCGTTCTCAAACTTGAGCTGCCTCAGAATCACCCTGGGCCCGCACCCAGAGTTTCTGGTTCCACAGTCAGGGGTGGCACCCCGGAATCTGCATTTCTAACAAGTTCTCAGGTGATGCCACTGCTGCTGTTCCAGGCACTGCGCTTTGAGAACCACTGCTCTGGGTGACACAAACTATTTCTCAGTGACAAATCATAATGTGGGCCCCGGGAGCCAGAATTGATACAGACCAGAGCCAACCCTGCTACCCCTTAAGCCCCTCTTTCCAACAGGTGAAGGGGGCCTGATTCCCAGTGTGAGCCCACCATCCAGCACCAGCCAGGAAGGGATGTGCCCTGAGCCTGCAGACCATCCCGAGAAGAACGCTCACCTTCGGAGAAGATGATGTGGTCGTTGCACTCTTCGGAGCTGCAGGAACACATGAAGAAAGTCTCTCCAGACCCCTTTTTTTCCTTCATAATACACTCTGCAGAAGCAGCGTCGTCAAGGACAAATCCATGGTAGGCGATCTTGGGGTCATGGCAGACCGTCTCCAGTGTGATGTTCTCGTCATTCTTTCTCCTGGGGTACAGAGAAGGAGGGGGTGAGTGTGGTCCCACAGGGAAGCAGTCTGGGCTGTATCTCCATCAGGACATTGTTTCTAACAGCAGCGCTGCCTCCTGTTCTCCATCACTTACAGGTTGTCCCGTCATGTCCTGTGCTTTCCCACGCACTTCCGTTTTTCCTTTGCTTATCTCAGAACCCACTTAGGATCATAACGTGAGGGCTTTCCTTGGAGACAAACCTGTCAGGGAACTTTACACGTTATGCCTTAATTAAATCATTAAAGGGAGGGCGTGGGGAAACAGGAGATTGCTAGGTCCTCGGGGTGACTCCAAACCTTCCATCCTGACCAAACTGTGAGGCTAGCATTGCATCTCTAGCTTGTTGGACAGAATCTGGCTAAATATTACTCAGTCATAAAAAGAACGAAATTTTGCCATCTGCAGCAACGTGGATGGACTTGGGGGGCATTACGCTAAGTTAAATACGTCAGACAGAGAAAGACAAATACTATACGATATCACTTATATGTGGGATCTAAAAAGTACAACTAGTGAATGTAACGAAACAGAAGCAGACTCACAGATACGGAGAACACACTAGTGGTTACCAGTGGGGAGGTGGGGAGAGTGGGAGGTACCAACTATTGGGTATAAGACAGGCTCAAGGATGGGAATATAGCCAATATTTTGTAATAACTACAAATGGAGCATAATCTTGTATAAAAAAATTTAAAAGTAATCAATTTTGAAAAAAAAACCCCTACCTATCCTTAACCCCCAAGCTATTGGAAAGTCTTGGCAAAAACAGTGGCCATGAAACAAAAGCACCTCCCTCCCTGCCCCCATAGTTGTGTGCCCGCCTGTGTAGGTGGGGGGTTGTGTTTGGTTTTGGTAACAAAATGAAGCCGTGATGAGTCCTCCGGGATCCCAGGGAAAAGCACGGTGTCCCTGCCTTGTGAAGCTTCCAGAGGCCCCGGGATGGGACAAGGAAGAAACTGTGAGCCACGAAGGAAAGCTGCTCTGCAGCCCTGGGGCAGCTCTTTCAGAGCCCCCTGCCTTCCACCCCCCCGCTGCCTATAGAACTAGAATCAGAGGGAGGAAACTCAACCACAGTACTTGAGGCTCCATAAGGTCCTCAACTGCTTCCTCCGCTCAGTGCTGTAACGGTGTCTCCTGGACAGGCAGGGCCCACTGTGCAAAACATCTGTGGGTACACTGGAGCACAGAAAGGGAGGATACAGTGAAATAAATACAGACTTCTTTGTCCTGCTACTGAAAAGGTTGTCAATATCTGTGACAAGAGAACCACAGTTATGAAATTAATTTTGGTTCTAAAATATTTCTACCCTTGAAAAGGACTTAAGCATTTCACATGGTAAGAGTGCACAACTGGCATTAGTTCAATAAATGAATGAATCAGTGAGTGAATGAAAAGAACACTAAAACTGATCGTGGGAGAGTACCACCACAGAGAGCAGAGTCTTTTCTTACCCCACTGGGCTATTCCTAAGATAGCCTAGTGTCCGAGTGTGCGTGCCCTGGACACAGACTCTGAGGCTGTGAGATCTCTGGATCTCTGTGCAGGAGCTCTAGGGAGATTCCCCTGCAGGGGCCAAAGGCAGCAGTGCTGCACAGAGCGGGGAGGGGGGTCGCGAAGAGGCTTCTGCTGACCTCTGGGCAGCTGAGGGCTGGAATGGCCCATCAGAGCTGTCCCAAGCTGAGGCAAAGCAGTCAGGCGTTTGGGCCGCTGCACCAACCAGTCCTGGGATGCTGGTTGCTGGTACAGAGAGGCTGAACCTGCTGGGCTCCAATGAAGCAGCTCGGGGAGTGGACGAGAGGAGCACCCCTGGAGGGCTTGGGGTGATCCCTCAGCCCAGGGTGAGCGCCTCAGTGCTGCACGGGCGGGGGTGCAGGACAGCATCCCTGGCACCTCCCTCTCTCCACATCCAAATGTGTCTTTGCCCAGAAAGGTAAAAATAATGTTCCCTGTATTTAATCTTTAGGGCTGAGACACAGAGGGCACAGAGAGGCTTCCCCACACGCCCGCATCTTCTGAGACAGCAAAGCTTCAATGCCAGGGATGTGTGATTCACACTCCACCCCTTGGACTTGTACTGGGGTAGGGAAACTACCTTTAATGAAAAGAGCCTGTTTGGGTGCAGAAGTATGTTCTCAGCTCCAGCGGATATTTAAGTGAAGACAGTCAGCAGAAAACAGGAATGAAGAGGAGCCTGGGGTCAGCTGGTCTGGGGTCTGAGGCTTCCTGCCCCAAACCTGAGAAGTGGTCCTCCATCCTCTCGAACTTGGTCTGACCCTTCCAGAGAAGGAAGCCTGTCCCACCGGCAGGAAACCACGACCGAGAAAATGTTTCAACTGATCCTGAGTACAAGTCTGTCTGTCCCCTTGTAAATGCTGTGGGTCTCCTTCTGTCCTGCAGAGTTCTGCACGACAAGTTTACTATATTTTCCACTTGAGAGCCCTTCAGATCTCTCAACAGAGCCCACGTCCTCTTTACTGGACCAGCCGTGGCTAACTGCCCCCACCAGCCCTCAGATGGCACGCTTCTGAACGTCTGATCACACCTGTGCCTCTGCTCTGAACACCATCTCTGTCAAAATCCCTTTTTCAAAAGCACCACTCAGAGATGGACACAAGTGCAGCTGGCAGGTATGGCAAGCTGCCGTGACAGATCTTTGCTGTTAACATTCCTTTAGTTCTTAAGAACCTAATACATGTCCTGGTACGTAGGGAAATGTGCCAGGGTTTCAGATTTATCATCAAGGCTGAATATACACGGTCTGGAGAAAGTCTCAAAAGACTCCTTCCAAAAGGAGCGGGCAAGATATCTGGGTTTACATGCTCATTTGCAAATGGCCAGGAGACACAGAGGTTACTTTAAAAAAATAGCTGATAAATTGAAACCATCAGAATAAGGCTTCAAAATGTTATATTTCATTAATGAATGTCTAGTTTTTTATAAAATAAGGACTCTCTTAATCTCTTTTTTTTTAAATCTCTGGCTTATACTCCTAATTCATAACTATGAGTTAATCAAATGATTCATGAGCACCCACTGTGTGTGTGTGTGTGTGTGTGTGTGTGTGTGTGTGTGTGTGTGTGTGTGTGTCTCTCTGTGTCCGTGCATGCCTGGCAAGACGGGAGGATGAGGGAGG